TGGATGTGATCCGAAATGGGAGAGGTTAAAATAACATTGTTAACACAATTAAGTTTGAAGTGAAATCGACTTCGTCCTTCAGTGACGTCGTCTTCAATTGTATTGGAATGTTATTTACAAAGACTCCTAACGCAAAATGAAGAAATGGACTTTCAAGGATGGAATTTTTTAAGGTTGTTGACGTTCCAAACTCTAGGCACCCTTTTGCCCTCGGCGTCTTGGAGAATGTATGCCCCAGGGTGCGGGACCTCGGTTACAATGTAAGGGCCTTCCCAGTTTGGTGCTAGCTTGCCATATCGGGTTTCGAACCCTGTGAGCCCAGCTTTTCTGAGGACGAGGTCACCGACTCTGAAGTTTCGAGGTCGGACTGGCTTATTGTAAAGGTTGGCTATCCTTTGTTTGTATGCTAGAGTCCGAAGTCGGGATTGCTCTCGGACTTCGTCTAGGAAATCAAGGTTTTCCCTTAGTAGACGCTCATTTCGAGTTGGTTCAAAGTGGCTGATTCTTAGGCTTGGGACACCAATTTCGACAGGAATGACTGCCTCAGTGCCGAAGGCTAAGTGGTAGGGCGTTTCGCCTATTTGCAGGAGACTAACTTTAGGATTTACTTTATAGGGTAGTCTGTAACCATAAATAAGGTAATGTAAAACAGAACCACAGTGGGGAACATACCTGTGGCAGTTCGGCTTGTTGTCCGGTAAGCCCACAGGACGTTGTTGAGTTCATCTACCCACTTTGTTTTCAGCTGGTCTAACCTCGGCTTGATTCCTTCCAAGATAGCTTTGTTAACTAATGCAACCATTCCATTGGCCTCAGGGTGATAGACGGAGGTGAACACCAACTTAATCTCGTAGCTTGAGCAGAAGTCCCTGAAGGAGTTACAATTGAACTGGGGGCCGTTATCGGCGATGATTTGGTTTGGTATCCCATATCTGCAGATGACCGAGGTGAAGAGGAAATCCTCGATTCTTCTCGAAGTTAGACAAGAGAGAGGTCTGGCTTCTACCCATTTGGTAAAGTAATCAACAGCGACCACCAAATGCGTTGCTCCCCCTACCGCTTTGACGAAGGGGCCCAGAAGGTCTATTCCCCATTGAGCAAAGGGCCATGGCGCAGTCAAGCTAGTGAGTTCTTCTGCTGGCTGGTGGGTGAGATGGGCGAAAAACTGGCATTTCTGGCACCTCTGTACGAACTTCTTTGCGTCTTCTTGCATGTTAGGCCAGTAGTACCCTTGCCGAAGTACCTTGTGTGCCAGAGTCCGGGCTCCCACGTGATTACCGCACACCCCCTCATGCACTTCTCTTAGTGCATACTCTGCTTCATATGGTGTCAGGCATCTGAGGAGTGGTAATGAATAGGACCTTTTGTACAGAATGTCGCCAACCAGGGTGTACCGAGAGGCTTTTCTTCGTAACTTCATCTCTTCTTGTTTGTCCCCCGGGACGGTACCATTGAGGAGGTATTCCCGGATGGGGTCTGTCCAACTCGGAGCATCTAAGTCAGTACTAATCTCCATCACCCCCGACGTCTGAAAGCTCGGTTCATTCAGTATCTCGATATACACAGATTTTGCTTCCCTTGAGTTTTTGGATGCCAATTTCGACAAGGAGTTTGCATGCTCATTTTCCTCTCTTGGGATTTGGGTAAGCTGGAATTTCTCAAAACGGTTTCTCAGGTTGGAGACTGCGGCCACATATCTCGCCAGGACGGGATCAATGACTTCGCACATAGAATTGATTTGGTTAACTACTAGTTGCGAGTCACTGTAAATCTGCAGGCGTTTGACTTTGAGCTCGGCCGCCAGACGTAATCCCAAGAGGAGGGCTTCATATTCGGCCACGTTGTTTGTGGCCTGGAAGTTGAACTTCAAAGCGTGTTCACTCCGGAAGCCGTCAGGTCCAGTTAACACTGCTCCAGCTCCTGAACCCTTGTTATTAGATGATCCGTCGACATACAGGGTCCACGTTTCTGCCTCGGAATTTGGCTCTACCTGATTAGAAGTGCATTCGACTACGAAATCTGCCAAAGCTTGAGCTTGGATTGTCGACCTCTGCTGGAATGCTATTTGAAACTCTCCCAACTCTACTGCCCATTTGATGAGCCTCCCGGAGCATTCTGGTTTCTGCAAAATTTGTCTTAAAGGTTGGTCAGTCATCACAATAATAGAATGGGATTGGAAATATGGCCTCAATTTCCTTGCAGTAACAACAACTGCTAGGGCTGCTTTTTCTGCTATTGAGTATCTCTGTTCGGCTCCCTGCAGCACCTTACTGGCATAGTACACTGGTTGCTGTTGCTTTCCCATTTCCCTGACCAAGACAGAACTGACAGCAGTATCAGATATTCCGAGGTAGAGATAAAGGATTTCACCTTCCTGAGCCTTGGTCAGCAAAGGCGGCGAGCTGAGGTAGGCCTTGAGCTCGTCAAAAGCCACCTGGCACTCCGTCGTCCAGTTGAACTTCTGGGGTTTTCCCGCTTCGTCCTTCTGAGTTGCAGTTCTCAAGACCTTAAAGAAAGGCAAACACTTGTCTGCTGATTTGGAGATAAATCTGTGTAGTGCTGCTACTCTCCCTGCCAGGCGTTGCACGTCCTTGGTTGACCTCGGCGGTTTCATTTCTTCTATTGCCTTTATCTTCTCAGGGTTGACCTCTATTCCCCTTCTGGAAACCATGAACCCCAGAAACTTGCCTGATTCAACGCCGAAAGTGCACTTTGCTGGATTCAACTTCATACCGTACCTTCTAAGGTTGTTGAACGTCTCGGCCAGGTCGGTCAAGTGGTCTTCTGCTCGAGAACTTTTGACAACAATGTCATCTACGTAGACCTCCAGGTTTCTACCAATTTGAGCCTGAAATACAATTGTAACCATTTTTTGGTATGTTGCCCCTGCATTCTTGAGCCCAAACGGCATCATGACATAGCAGTATATTTCATCCCCGGCATAAAATGAGGTTTTCACCTCGTCCTCGGGTGCCATGCGTACTTGATGATACCCCGAGTAAGCATCCAGGAGGCTTAACCTCTCATTCCCTGAGGCGACCTCCACCAGCTTGTCTATGCTCGGCATGGGATGACAGTCTTTGGGGCAGGCGTCGTTGAGGTTGGTGTAATCGATGCACATGCGCCACTTCCCGTTTGACTTTTTTACCATGACAGGGTTGGCAATCCACTCGCAGTAATCTACTCTCCTGATGAACCCTGCTTGTAAGAGATTCTTCACTTCTTCTTTAATGGCTGTGAGTCTTTCTCCCCCGAAAAGCCGTCTCTTCTGTGCTACTGGCTTCCTCAAAGGATTAGTGCTGAGTTTGTGCACTGCCACAGAAGTTGGGATTCCAGGCATATCAGCCGAAGTCCATGCAAACACATCCTTGTTTACTTTTAAGAAACTCACAAGTTCTTCTTTTTCTGTAGGAGTCAGCTTCGTGCCTATCTTAGTCTTCTTGGATGGGTCATTATCATCAAGTTGCACCTCTTCGACCTCTTCGACCGGGGTGGCTCTTGGGTCGTCCTCTGGTCTGTTATCTGGCAGCTCTACACCCATTACCTGTTGGGTATTCGGGGCCTCTGGTTGGGGTGCCTTTGGTGGTGGGAGTACCTCCTTATTTCTTCGTGACCTCGTGACGGAGGTCATGTAGCAGTGCCTGGCCGCCTCTTGGTTGCCTCTTAGGGTTGCTATCCCCATTGGGGTAGGGAATTTCATGCAGAGGTGGGGCGGGGACACTATAGCCCGGATCTCGGTCAAAGTCGGCCTCCCGATGACGAGATTGAAAGATGAAGGCATCTTCACTACTAGAAATCTGACTGTGGGTGTTACGTACGTCCGTCCAGAGCCGAACGCTACATTGAGTCGCAGCACTTCTTCCACAGGTACCGGCTGATTGTTGAACCCGTAAATGGGCCCGTCGTACTTTTGTAGGAGGGCTGGGTCGAGTTCGAGGCTCTCAAAGCAATGGTAATACATTATATCTGGAGCACTGCCGGTGTCGATGAGCGCTCGCTGGACCTCGCAATTGTTGATGATGACCGAGGTGACTAATGGGTCGTTATGGGGCGTGACAACCCCCTCGAAGTCAGCCGAAGTGAATGTCACAGATTGATTTTTCCAATCCTCCTCGTCGATTTTCCTTTTCTGAGCTGTATTGTGGTGCTTGACCTCCCTCACGTACAACTTCTGCTGTTTGGAGCTTGTGCCTCCTGCTTCGGGCCCGCCGGTTATCATGTGAATGACTCTAGATGGGGGTGGCAGAGGTGGTGGTGCTTGTTGGTACCCTACCCCATCCCTGTTGTTTGGTGCTCGAGACCCCTGGGCTTGTCCTTGTTCTTTGACAAACTTTGGCAAATTTCTGTTCTGGATGTACTCATTCAACATCCCCTTTCGGGCCAAACTTTCCAGCTCGGACTTCAAACTTTTGCACTCTTCCGTGGTATGTCCGTGGTCTTGATGAAAGTCACAGTATCTGGTGTGGTCTCTGCTTGCCGCTGGGCTTTGTATGGGGTGTGGTCTCCTCATCTCCATCTTATTCTTAATCTGCATGAGAATTTGCGACCTCGGAATTGTGAAGGAGGTCCATGAGGGCGGCATAGGCCGCGTCTGCGGGGTGCTGGAATTGGGCCTGTCTAGCTTAGGAACCGGAATTGGGCCTCGGTTTTGTGTAGGTTTGAACTTCTTTCTGCTCTGGCTTTCGTCTCTCCAGATGGGGGCTCTAGCTTCTTTGGGGGGCTGAGGTTTGGAGAGGACGTACTCCTCAGCCTTAATGAATTTAAGGGATCTCTGGTTGACTTCGTCAAAAGTAGTTGGGGTGTTCTTGACCAAGTTGTCTCGAAACCGATCATGGTTGAGGCCTTGTATCACGGCAGTTACTCCCACTGCTTCATCGAAGGCATTGACTTCCAGCATGGCGTCATTGAACCTGTTCATGTAGTTCTTCAAGGATTCGCCTTCTCGTTGTGTTATGCGCATGAGCTCGGGTGTCGTCTTTTTGATCACCCTTCTGCTTGAGAATTTGGTGGCAAATGAGGTGGCCAGCTCGGCATACGCGTTAATTGAGTTCGGACGCAGGGTGTGATACCAAGTCCGGGCATTGCCGCGCAATGTGGAGGGAAACATCTTGCACATGAACGCGTCCGAGGCGTTTTGAGCCTGCATGATGGAGAAGAATGCATGTAAATGGTCATCAGGGTCTTTAGTGCCGTCATACGTTTCAAACATCGGCATCCTGAAACCGGGTGGATATGGCTCTTGGGTGATTTTAGTGTTGAGGGGAGTGGGGATAGAGGTTGATATAGGTGGGACTTGTGATTGTGGATTTTTGTTCTCGGCTAACAGTTTTTCTAGGTTATCCAGCCTCCTTGAGACATCTGAGGCGGCTGGTTGAGGTGGGTTTTGTGGTTGGGGTGGTATGTGAGACTGTGCTTGGGAAGCAGTCGGGGCAGCACTGCGGACCGGGGAGTTGGCAGGCTGCTGAGCTGGTTGGGGGGCCACGGGGGGAGCTGGGTTCAATAAGTGAATGAGTGGGTCAGCGGGGTTATCTCTGGCTAACAGCTGGGCAAGTACTAGCTGGAAGACCCCGAATTGTTGTTGCATGGCATTGAGTTGAGCGGTCACAGGGTCGCTTGGTACAGCGCTGGGATATTGTGGATTATGTTCCCCAACTCCTTCTGTCTGCTGATGCTGGGGGGCTACAACTGGTGTATTCTGTGACACGGGGTTGATACTTGGGGGCTGGCCTCTTCCTTGGCCTCGAGGAGGACTCTCACGTTGGGTTGCTCGTGTGTGTACCATCTTAGCTTCTAGTGATGACTTTTTTTCGGTTTCTCACAGACGGCGCCAATGTAGTTGCTGAATATCCTTGAGGTCTTACTCCAAGTTGGTCTTGCTCCAAATGGTCCTGCACAATCCCGAGGTTGAACCTCGGGGAGAAACTCCGATGCTTAAGTCAGTATTTTTCTGATTAACCTTTCTTTTTTCTTCCGCCTATTTATCGAGTCTTACCTTGTAGGCCTTTTTCCACTTGGCAAGACGCCCACGTAGCTCGTCCATACCCACGTGGCCTAGTCAATCCAATAATGGTGACATGGTGCGCCTGACGGAGTAGACGTTTTAGGTGAGTGTAACGTGCCCTAACGGAGCAACCGCATTAAATGCGCGTGGTGCGCTCTGGCGAAGCAGGTTCCTTGAGGAGGGGTGTTCTGGTACAGACAAATGATCAGATAAGGGCGTGCCTATCGTGGTTGTCATGCACCCACGGCGAAGTGCCGAGGTGTGGCGAGCTCAGAGCTCTGCACCTTGTATTGTCTCGTGGCTACCCTTACACCTAATTTTTTACAATCCTCAAACTAACGACATTGGTAACAATGTTGTGATGGGATGAACCATGAAGAACAGAAAGCAAGTTATTGGCCGCATAACAAACCCCATGCGGGACCACCAACGAGTACCCAACAATAATTGCTTGGAGGCTAGGGACTTGAGCTTGACTTGACTCCTCTTCTTCTTCGTCTTCCTTCTTTTATTTATTTATTTTTTTAGGGGAGGACTCCCGTAGACTTCCTTTTCGTATTTCTCATTGAATTAATTTCATTTTGGTCCCTAAAATTTAATTTTTAGACCAATTTGATCCTTAAGCTTAAAAAATTACCAAAATTATTCTCAAACTTTAATTTTCTATTAACAACTTGATCCTTCCATTAGTTAAATGTTGACATGGACGGTTAAGCGATTTTATAATACAAAATTTTAAACTTAAAATATTACATAAAAATTTTGAATTCATTTTATTATTGAGAAGATGGATTTTTTTTTTTTGCCATGTATGACTTTTCTTTATAAAGTTCAATTGTAATTAATTAATACTAATGCTAATTATTATTTTATCCACTCACTTCAAAATTGAGTCTACTAATGCTACTTCAATTATTATCTTACCTTAATTATCTTTTTAATGTACAATTATCATAACTTTTTTAATAAATTAAATTAAATACAATGAGACTCACACTTAATTAATCATTCACCTCTCTCTCTTTTTCAACATATCCTTCTCTCTGTCTCCCACATTATCACAATGAAAATAACTTTAATTACCCAAAAAACAAACATAAAATTAGTCAAATTTCAATTGTATTAAAGAAAATAATTCCAAACTTCTAACATGTTTAAAATTTTTTAGTTATGCAAAACCCAAATCTAGATTCCAATTTTGGGCCATTTGGTTTGAGAACCCATTCAGCCACATTCATCTCACTTGATGAATCAAAACTATAAAGTTCAAAAACCATCTCTCCCAAACTTTTAATTCAGATAGTTTCTTAAGTGGAGAATATCTTCAACCACTATTAAAGGCAACTAGCAATGTATTCTTCTCAACAAAATCCAACAACCCCTTATAGGCATAGGCATTTCATCCAACACCTGTTGTGTACAACTTGAGAAGTTAGAAGTTTTCTATAACCCATTGACTCCACACCACACCCAAAATCAAATTCAACCTTTTAAAACACATCAAGAAACCTACACACATCCTCAAACTATAGTTCTAGCCACCAAAACTTCAATTAAAATAATAATTCTTCCCCTAACCTTTAGCAGCTAAAAGGAGATTTTTGGCCATAAAATTAAGCAAAATAACACACAAAAACTAATCTAACTATACACGAGTGGAGACTCTAGTTTCAAAGCAACATCACTAATCTGTGGGATATCTATGGATGAATCTAGGTTCTCATGCAATGAACCTAACCTAATTGGTTTGTCATATGAGAGATTAGTGATGGGATGAAAGAGAAGGGGAAGAGGAGGAAGAGGCTTGGAGAAGAGATGAAGAGGGTACTAGTGAAAGGAGAAGGAAGAGATCATCGATGCTAGAGAAGAGAAAGGGAGAAAGATATCATTGGTTCTAAAAAAAAGGGTAAAGACAAAGGAAGAAGAAGGTGAAGTGGGCGAAGAAGGGAGGGATGGATAGTTTTGTAATTCCACTCGATTAGGGCTAAGTGCTTGGTCGACAAAATATAATAAAATTTTAAATCAACTACTTTAATTTTTAAAGGATAGAAATGCACATGTAACACATAAGAAACAAGAAAATAAGAATTCCATCTAATATTTAAAATTAAAAAGCATGACTTTGTGGTAAATTAACGTCACAACCGACAACTACATCAAGGAAAGGGCCAATTTAGTATCGCAAAAATAAAGTTTAAGGACCAACTTGGTCTAATACTCAAAGTTTAGATACCAAAATGGTGATTTAACGTTCTCATTTTCCTCTCCCTATATCATCTTTAACTTTCTGTTGTACAACTTGTACCACTGCTTTCATTTTTTCCGTATTCCCTCCTATTTCAGTTTCCATTCCTACTTCTCTCACCTAGAAGACACAGTAACTGCCATCGGAGACTCTCCGGTAAACCTCTTCTGAAAAGGCCTTTACTTAACGAAATTTCTCTCTATTTCCTCAACGTTCAAAATCTCTCCCAGATTTTTCGTTCGATTCCAGTAGACTTCTGTTCTCCTCATCGCCGTTCCTCAACTCAACCGCAGAAATCAAGGCCGGTCGTCGTAAATGAGCGCAAGGAACCGATCTCGACTTTGATTGAGGCCTGCTTTTCAAATTTTCTGGAGAAAAGAAAGCTTTTAGTCTCTTTTAATCCGTTTTCTCGGTAACCAAACTTAAGACATCTTTTGATTGAGTTTTAACTTTTAATTATGCATGAAGTTAAGTTACTTTTCTTTTAGTTATAGATATTATGAAATTATAGAGATACGGTCAAAGGTTTAACTTCGATGGATGATTTTCATG